CTCTCTCTCTCTCTCTCTCTCTCTCTCTCTCTCTCTCTCTCTCTCTCTCTTTCTGATGGGAATGGAACCTAGGGCTTCAAAGCTGCCCACACTCCCAGTCCTGGGTTTTTCTAATTGGCAGGGGGCACAGACCCTGGGACCTGAATTGGCTCTCGAACCTACAAGTTTTGTGATATCGAGTGGGCTACTTAGCCTCTCCATGCCTCCCTTTCCTCATCAGCAAAACATAGGTAACAGATTCTTCATAGGGTTATTGGAACACATGAACGAAGTCATTAGGATGACTGATGCACAGAAGATGCTCTGTGTGCGCCTGATGGGGCTGTCAGCTGCAGAACAGTGCCAGTTCCCCCATCAGCTGCCTTTGCCCATGCACGGTGTCTTACAAAAACCATGTTCCTCTATGCAATGTCCCAGTGCCTGTCTTGAGCAACCCAGCAGACCTCAGGGAAGATTTTTTTTATACCCAAAAGTGTCCTTGATATCACAGATGCCACAATTGTCATTTTGTAATGATGCAACTGAGGCAGAGTGAGGAGACTTGCCCAAGACTGTGCGGTTCTTATCTATGGGTAAATCCGGCCAAGAGCCAGCCCCCGCCGGTCCTCCTTTCACACCTGTATGGTTGCTTACATTGTTTCCTTATGTTGCCAACAGGTTCTCAGTGTTTCGTTTGTGAAATGAGTTGGAAACCAGGAACTGGAGGGCTTGGGTTTCTCGCCCACGCCTGACACAGGCCTGAGTCATAGCCTTTAAATACCTAAGAGGTTTTTAAGGATGTTTATTCTCTTTAGTTTGTTTAGCAGGCTAAGTTACTGAAAACCATACAGTCAGCCCTGTGCCCAGATTCTCCATTCAAGAATTCAACCAACCGAGGACCAACAGTATTGGTGGGAACTGTGTCTGGTCTATGCGGAGCATATCCACACTGCTTCCTGGCATTGTTTTCTGTCAATGCAGCACAGCAACTGTTGGCGCCGCACGGGTGGTATGTCAGGTAAGTGACGTCCAGGGTGAAAGGTGACTTGAAGCATCCATAAAGTCTATGAAAATGCTCTGTCATTGTGAACAAGTGACCTGAGCATTCTCTGATTTGGTCATCTGAAGAGGAAGGAAGATCTTGAGGATAGTGAGGGGGCGATTCTAGTTCCCTAAAGAAATGAAGGTGTCACTATGTGTGTTCTTAGGACAACTATCAAGGCCACCCAGAGCCCAGGAAGGCTGGGCAGAGCAGAGCGTGGCGCGGCCTGGATTTCCAGGTTCTGGTCCCAGTCTGTCATTTCTGAGTCCAGTCTTCCGGACTCTGATGGCTGACAGGTGGTCGACAAGCATCAGATCCCTTTGGCTAAATTACTCACAGCTGATGTCTGTGACTTAACCTTACTTAACTTGTCTGTTAGTGCTGTTGTGAAAGTCCCTGGCAGCTATGGGTGTCAGGAAATGGGAACAGAGGTTTAAGGTAGAGCCGCCTGTAGGAAAGGAGGAGCAGAGAGTAGGCGACATCTGAGGAGTCTCTTCGGACAAGTCAGCAGCAGAAAGACACCGAGCAGGAACTTTGCCAAACCCAGAAGGTAGCATGCTGACGTCTCAAAGGAGGCAGGACCACAGGGCAGCAGGACAAGAGGGTCTCCTGCAACTGAGGACCTAGAAACAGGAAAATGAGAAGTAGAGAGAGGGAGAACTTGCAGGGGCTCAGCAAAGGGTCCCTTCCAGAGTGCTCCTAAAGCCGGGCGGAGGTGGCGCATGCCTTTAATCCCAGCACTCGGGAGGCAGAAGCAGGCGGATCTCTGTGAGTTCGAGGCTCAGCCTGGTCTACAAGAGCTAGTTCCAGGACAGGCTCCAAAGCTACAGAGAAACCCTGTCTTGTATGCCTGATCTAATGGGAGCTCACCAGATCCAGCTGGACTGGGACTGAACAAACATGTGATCAAACCAGACTCTCTGAATGTGGCTGACAATGGGAGCTGACTGAGAAGCCATTGGTAATGGCACTGGGACTTGTTTCTACTGCATAGACTGGCTTTTTGGGACCCTAGTCTGTTTGGATGCACACCTTCCTAGGCCTGGATGGAGGGGGAAGGACTTCCCACAGGGCACTCTGTCCTCTCTTAAGACTGGAGGGGGAGGGAGGAGAGTGAGTGGGAGAGTGAGAGGGGAATGGGAGGAGGGGAGGAAGTGGAAATTTTTGAGTGGAAAAATAAATAAATAAATAAGAAATCCTATCTCAAGAGAGAGAGAGAGAGAGAGAGAGAGAGAGAGAGAAGAGAGAGAGAGAGAGAGAGAGAGAGAGAGAGAGAGAGAGAGAAAGGTGAAAGCAAATATTATTCTAAGGACAGCCTGGACAGTGGATGCCAGGCCTCAATTCATTCTGTCATTCATCACTCAGCATGGATATATTAGGTGCTTGCCATGTCCAGAGTACTGTGCCAGGTGCTGAGATGAACTCAGTCACTCCACTCTTCTGACTGACATCTGTAAGAGGAAAGGGACAAGAAAACCAAGAAGTGGAAGGGATACATAAGGAGAGATCAATGGTTCCTGCAAGCAATCATTGGTGGGGCGCCCATCACCAACAGTCAGAGCAGGACTTGTGAGGTCTCCAGTGAATCGCCAGCCTGTGCACCACCAGGACCTGCCCTTTCGCTTGGCGCTTCACACACTCCAGGCTTTGGGAAAAGAAAATAAGTGAGAAGCCAAGTGTGTTTCCTTGGGTTCCCAAAGTCCTCCTGAAGACATCCACAGACCACACCCCACACACAAACACTTCCTTTCTACCCAAGTGTGGTTGCTGAGCCAGCACCAGGACCTGTCTTAGTGTGTTGGCAGATGACAATTCCACATATAGCAGGGACATCTAGGAGGCTAGGGGAGGCCAGAGAACAGAAACCGAAACACTGTTAGTTGGGAGCAGTAACTTCCAATGTTCTTGGTTCCTAATGACCTGTTTTACATTCTCCGAATCACTAGAAGAATTGAGTGAGCTCCCATTAGATCAGGCATACAAGACAGGGTTTCTCTGTAGCTTTGGAGCCTGTCCTGGAACTAGCTCTTGTAGACCAGGCTGGCCTCGAACTCACTAGGTGCTCAAAGGCTCTAGACAGGGACGAAAGGGAGCCTAGAGGGTCTGCTTGAGGGTCCTTGAGGGGTCAAGCTCTGTGGGTGGAGTGTGGTGGGAAATAAATGTGTTACACCTGACCTAAACAGCAACACCCCACCTCCTCTCCCTTTTTTGCCTTCCAACAACACAAAGAGTAGGAAACTCCTAGAAGGTACTGACAATGGAAACAGCCTGAGACCCTGAATGGTTGCACAGAGCAGAGAAGCTCCTGCATGCATGCACACACACATACACACAACAACAACAACAACAACAACAACAACAACAACAACAACACATGCTTCTTTCTCCGTGACTGTGAAGCAATGTGAAATAACCTTCCATTGGGTTCAGACACTGAAGCTGGGTTTTGTCTTTGACAGGAGCTAACATTTCCCATTCTGACTAATGTGGCATTTGAACTGTTGTTACTGCAGAAGAAAGCCCTCCCAACGCTTTTAACATCTTTTAGCTCCCCTGCCTCAGTCTATTTGTGATACATCAACACGAGAACATGCAAATTTTAAAGCTAAATCGTCGATGCATGTCAACCCACATCCAAGCTACTCCCTGTCAGTGCTCCAGAGGACATAGCAAGAGAAGGTGGGAGGACCTGGGCATGTGATGAGAACAAAATGCTAGGAACGACAGAACCTTGGCATCTAAAGAAGATCTCAAAGACCAAGTTCAGAACTGTTGGAAATAGTGCGTGGTTGTACTTCTGAGTTAGAACACTCACCTGTTCGGAGCAGAACACAGGGCGCATTGTTAGCGCTACACAAACCCCACTCTAAGGAAGCAGTGGAACCAAGTGATGCCAAGGAGAGAGGCGCCTGGGCAGGAAAGAACCAGCCAGGCAGAGCCACCAAGGAGCAGGAGAATTTGTATCTCTTTCTTGGAGCTAAGTTGAATCCGTGTAGCCACAGCCCCACATCTGCTATGATGAGGACCCCGAGTCATCCCTCAGAGAGAAAGACATCTTGGAAGCCTTTATGATGAGAAGGACTTTGCTGACACCCCAAGCACATTCCAGAACTTCTCAGAGTAGCAGGAAAGCATAGAGGCGTCTATTTCACCTGCCCTCTCAACACTGGCAGACACTGAGGTCACCGGGGGCATTTGTGCTGAGTGAGGAAGACCCTGCAAGAGAAGGAGTGCTTGGGTAAGGGTGGCGAGCAGAAGGGGGAGAGGTGAAGGAGAGAAGGAGTGCCTGGAATGCACCATCCCAGAGTGGAGATCTGTACAGAGAGACAGGGGAGACCGTGCTGGGGAAAGGCAGCTCTCCGCGAGGCAGGCTCCAGCCCACAGTACCCACAGAAGGCTCTTGATCACAGCCTTGGGGGCGGCTACTTGTGGTCCCTGCTGTCGGGTAGCACTGTAAATGCCAACGAGTGTTCCTAGTATAGGGCCCTGAGCCCAGCAGCAGTAGAGAGGGGCTGGGTGAGTCAGGCTTCTCCAGTTCAGAGAAAGATCAAGACGGTGGAATGCCTGATCCTCAGGCAAGGGTGGTAAGGATATGCGCATCTCCTATTATGCATGACTGCAATGCATGTGGAATCAATACAGCTAGACTTGCGTGTCTGTGGGTCTGTATCCTGTGGTTCCACTCCCCCATGGCCTCAAATATGGAAACACACTGCATCTATACTAATGTGTGCAAACATTATTCTTTCATTTCCTACAATACAGTAGAGAAGTCCAGATATAAATTTCCATTGCTTTAGGCACTCTAAGTCACTAAAGGTGAAAAAGCATGGAGCAGATGTGTGTAGGCTCCGTGCAAATGTACCATTCCGTGCAATGGACTTGAACACCCACAGATTTGGCTATTTGTGGGAGGGTGCTAGAAACAATGCTTTTCAAATATCAAGGGCTGGCTGTACATGCAAGGGGCATGCTAGAACCTTGAGATACCAAATGGTGAGAAAATACATTTAAAAGTGTGCCTTTTGGGTCTTGGGAGATTGCTCAATAGGGAAGGTGCTCACTGTGCAAATATAAAAACCTGAGTTCAGATCACCAACATCCGCATAAGAAGCTATGCATGGCGATGCATGCCTATAATCCTAATGTTGATGAGGCAGAGACAGGAGAATCCCTGGAGCACCCCGGCCACCTAGTATGACTGAATCAGTAAGCTACAGGTTCAGTGAGAGACCATGACTCAAAAAGTTAGGTGGAATACAATTGAGAAAGATGCTCAGCCCTGATATCTAGCCTTCACGGGTTCACACACTCACACATATGAAAAGAGTGTGCCTTGATGCACAATGTCTGTTAAGCCCCTGACACACAGAAGTCACTAGAATATAAACACCTGTTATAAGGAGAGCAGGCCCTTTGTCCCAGCCTCCCAGCTAGTTTATACTCGAAATAATCACACAGAAATTGTATTAATTAAATTACTGCCTGGCCCATTAGCTCTAATTTCCCATTGGCCAACTCTTACATCTTAATTCAACCCATTTCTACCAATCTGTGTAACGCCACAAGGTCGTGGCTTACCGGGAAAGATTCTAACCAGTGTCAGTCTCAGGCAGGAGCTTCATGGTGTCTATCTGTCTGTCTTCTTCCTCCCAGCATTTAGTTCTCTTTTCCGCGCCTACCTAAGTTCTTCCCTATCAACAGGCCAAGGCAGTTTCTTTATTCAGCCAGTGAAAGCAACGCATAGACAGAAGAACCTCCTACACCAAACACCAATGGAGACATGGAAAAGACATGGTAGCAAACTATCTCCAAGGCACTGCAATCTTCAGTTCACCAGCAAAAGGCCTTTAAACTTCCTCCCCTCCATTATGAAAGAAAACAGAACATCTAAGAAACATGAACTTAAATACAAACAACAGAAGGCAAGCGATGGCACAAGTCCTAATTCCTTGCCTCAACTGTGAGGTCCACGGCATGCAGCTTCTGGTTCAAGCTCCGGTCTCTCTACTCTCACCCTACTGCTCCAGCTACACACCATCTTGATAACAGTGCTGGGTCCAGATCAAGACCTTTGCTCTTGCTAGGCACTCCACCAGGGGGTTCTTCCTTTCTCCGGCCTTGGCATGGCTCGCTTGCACTAATCTCTGCTAACTTCAGCTGCCCAGAGAGTTGACTCACTATGGCCATCTGGCCAGTGACTCCCATTTCCACATCATTTGTTTTGTTGCCGCTTTGTTCATGATGCCTTTATGAGTACCATGCACTACGTCACATGCTCAATATTAACATCATAGCGTTCATATTTGCTCGCAATAGATGGCATCTTTGCTTACCTGTTGACTGAGGCCTGCTGTGTCAGGTGCACACTGGATTTTGAAGACAGCATAAAAAGGAGTGTACAGAACTGATAATTTTCATATTGAGACCATTTGGAATAAGGGATATCACTTCTCAGCCCTTTGGGGAAATTTTATCTCTATATTGGGCTAGACAACAATTTTCAAGATGATTTTGTTTTTATTATATGAAGGGGTGTTTTGCTCATACTATGTGTGTGCACCACATAATACATGATTGGTGTTGGAGGAGTCCAAAGAAGGCATCAGAGCCCCTGGAACTAGAGTTACAGATACTTATGAGCCACCATGTAGGTGCTGAGAATAAAACCTAGGTCTTTGGCACAAGCAGCCCATGATCTTAACTATCAAGCCATCTCTCCAGCCTTACATTTTTAAAAATTAAAATTGATTGTATTTGTTTCTTTTGAACAGTGTCTCTGTTAGACCATTTTCAGTCCCACCTGTGGCTTAGTTTTACTGGACAGTGGGAATCTAGTTCAGATTTCCTTCAGAGCAGGGATGGTGGCTGCCTTGTCCGTAACACCCACAGAGTGCCTGGTACACAGGGCAGACTAGCACACAGATGCTAAATCGGGCTCTGTTTTATTGAAAACTTAGCAATATTCTCTCTCTGTCTGTGTCTCTGTCTCTTTCTCTCTCTTTCCCTCCCTCCTTCCTTCCCTTCCTGGTGACATCATTGTTGTTTAAGACCCTGCCAACCTCCTTATCAACTTACTTCAGCCTGCTTTTACTTACATTCTTTTTCAATAGATATTAAACATGTTTGCCCTGTCATCTGAGAACCTTAATTATATTCTAAAATAGTTACAGTCTTTTAAGTGGCCCATTGTGTTCGTCTGTTTTTCAGTGCTGTAATGAACTAAAAGTGGTCTCAGTTATTTAGCTCACAGTTTTGCAGGGATGCCTACATCTGCTCAACTCCAGGGCCCTCCTGCCACAGCACACTGGTGTGCACTGGTGGCACACACTGGTGAGAGGGCGAGCAGGAGGAAGGATCACCCCTCCCAGAGCACAAAGGGAGCTCCCAATCTCTTCTCAGGGCAGTGTCCCCAGCTGAACTAAGGACTCCTCCAGAGCAGCACCTCGAAAGGTTCACAGCACCTCAACACCACAGTGAGGACCAGGCCTCCAACACACGGACCACAAGGGACAGGTCACATTCTGGTCAGAGAACTCATCTTGTTGACACACTGGTTAATCAAATTAATGAGAGACTGCTTGAAAAAGAACAGGAAAGCAACCTGAAGATGAACAGGTGAGCAGAAACTGAAGGGCTACAGGCCTCATAGGTAGCAATATGGAGCCAGTCATGGGCCCTTTCTCCTGATTAGCCCAGACCAGTTCCATGAGGGTATCAAGCTATGACAGTAGACACACCTGTGAAAGGGGAGGCAGCGCCCAAACACTTTGCTCAGCAGTCTAGTGAGCACCAGCCCGTATGCTGGAATCTGGGCACAGGCAAGGACTAGACAGACAGGGTGAGCCATGCAACACAGCTGTTCTACATGGTTTATCTTGAATTCTCGGTCCCTGCTCACCAGTAATATTTAAAGCCTCTAACTGGTGTGTGTGTGTGTGTGTGTGTGTGTGTGTGTGTGTGTGTGTGTGTGTGTGTGAGAGAGAGAGAGAGAGAGAGAGAGAGAGAGAGAGAGAGAGAGAGAAACCGGACTGTCTAATTCTCATGAGAGTAATTTTAAGATTTTTCTCTACAGAAATAAGACACAGGCTAGAAAGGGGATTCAAGAGCTCCCTCTAAATATGCCCAGTGGATGAAGATCCTACAGCAGCAATGTTTCCTGAGGGTGAGTCTTCTGCTCAGGGTGTCTCCCATGTGAATCAGCTCTGAGACTCACACGCCACACATCCAAGCCTAACAATGTATTTTCAGAGAGTGGAAGAAATAAGATTTGGTACTAGAATTCATACATTAGTACCAGGTACCTCTGGGGAGATACTGTGGCCAGAGTGCTGTTTGATTCAGAATAAAAGCAAAGCAGGAGACCCACGAGCACAGATTACCCTCCTCTAAGAGCCCTTATATCTGCAGCACCACAGAGCAGGAAAATGTCCCCTTTCATTGTTAGCTTTGACCATGCCTGGGCATTCTCTAGAGATGACTTGTTCTGCAGCCTGGGTCAGCCGTTTGGAGCTGAAAGGAGGCAGCCTGAGCATAAGGTTTGATTTCAATTCTGCAGTCAGTGCAGTACCAGGACACGGGAACCCACTGGCAGGACTATGGCGCTATGGGGACCTAACGAAGTCATAGTGAAAGTTCCCAGGTGAGTGTACAATTAGCCCCTGGCTTATAAATTATCTAACAGTAAAATTATGTTTGTTGAGTTTCTGTAGAAGGAATAGGCGTGCTAGACTTAAGTGGAGTTTGAGCAAAGGAAGAAACTTTAAAGAGTGAGGGTTTACATGGGTCCACATATAATTATATTATTGCACTCATTCATCCAGTTCATCAAAATCCATTTGTGTCTTATAAAGTCAGTGTTGGGGTGACAGAAATAATACTGTACGAATCCTAGCCTAGTCTGAGAGTCGGCAGCGTATGAGCAAATGATTAGGGTGACACATAGTGACCACTAGCATAGTGACCACTGAAACTTTACTGTGCACTCAAGGAGGAAAGAATAACGACTCCTACCCAGCAAGGAGCAGGTCCAGGGAGGCTCCTCAAGTCAGGGATGTTCTAGTGGGCAGTTCAAAGGTGAATGAGAGGTTACTGGGCAGCGGAGGGGAAGGGAAAGTTATGCAGGAAAAAGGAAGAGCTTGTAGCAACACTTGGGTGGAAACGCAGGCTGTTTTTACATATTGGTAGCATAAAGGAAGAAAATGGACACAAGAGGAAGTTGAATGAGACCTCGGTTGTTAGCTTGCGCATTGGTTCAGCTGCCCTAAGAAAGGTCACTGTTCTAGTTTGCTTCTCCCATGCTGTGATAAAACACTCAGCAAAACCAACTCAGAGAGAAAAGGATTGAATTCAGCTCATGGGTTACAGTCCATCATTGAAGGAAGCCCAGGAAGAAACTCAAGGCAGGAACATGAAGGCCAGCCCTGAAGCGAAGGTCACACACACACACACACACACACACACACACACACCCCACTAACACTTACTGGCTTGCTTCTCATGGCTTGCTCAGCCTGCTTTCTTATATAACCCAGCACTACCTGCCCAGAGTTGGTACCACCCACAGTGGAGTGGGCCTTCCACATCAATCTTTTTTTTGGGGGACAGGGTTTCTCTGTGTAGTTCTGGCTGTTCTGGAACTCACTCTGTAGACCAGGCTGGCCTGGAGCTCAGAGATTTGCCTGCCTCTGCTTCCCAAGTGCTGGGATTAAGGGAATGTGCCACCCCACCCCAGCATTCCATATCTCCATAATCCAGAAAATGCTCCCTAGGCTTGCCCACAGACTGCTCAGTGGCAGTCCTCCACTGAGGTGACTTTCTTCCTAGACTTGGCCACAGACTGCTCAGGGGCAGTCCTCCACTGAGGTGACTTTCTTCCTAGACTTGCCCACAGACTGCTCAGTGGCAGTCCTCCACTGAGGTGACTTTCTTCCTAGACTTGCCCACAGACTGCTCAGTGGCAGTCCTCCACTGAGGTGACTTTCTTCCCCAGGGACTCTAATTGTGTCAAACTGATAAAAACTAACCAGCACAGTCCCCAAATCAGTGGCTTAAAAATTAACACACTTGTCTCTCACTTAATAGTGTGGACAGAAGCAGTCCAAGGCTAGCAGGAGGAGTCTCAGCTAAAGACCCTGCCCACTTCTGTCTCAGAGCTCAGCCATCCAGCAGCAGGGTGGACGGGCTTAGCTCTAAGCCTCCAGTCCTGATGGCTTCTGTGTCCTGCCCTCACCCAATGCATGCGACATCCACCACCTTTCTATAATCTTGGGATGTTTTGACCATCTTCTATACTCTAGCTGGAGGTGCAGCAGGCCTCTGATCTCTGTGGGAACAACTAAAGAAACATGTAGGTTGTTCTTGTGTTGTGCAGGTGGCAGATGAGGCTGGGAGGAAGCCCAGGGATAACAATCCTTTTTTCTGGTCACTGTCTGCCAAGTAAGAGATAAGTGGTCCTGTCTCCAGAAGCAGGAAGCAGACAGATGGGGCCAGCAGCCTCTGCCATGGCTTGCTTTGGTGTGCTAGGCCAATGATTTCTAGAATGTCCCTGAGAAAAACCAGTGTAACCTGGTGGAATCTTCCATCTTCCATAGCTCCACAGAGTGCTCTTTAAAGATTTAAAATTTTCTCAAAATAAGAGTTTTCAGGATGTAAGAGGTTATGCAATGTCACAGAATAAAAAAAATGAACAAGGATCTAAGTTTGTGTGCCTGGGAAGCAAGATTTCTCAGACCTTTTAAAGATCCTTCCACAGATGGCCTGCACACACTCTAAGAACCCTGCCATATTTCACTGCCTGAACTGGACAAGTCATGGGCACAGTTCTCATGGCCCCAGACTCAAGACTCAAGACAGACTTCTTCACAAGTTGAGACAGGGAAATGAGGTGGATGCAAACTTTATAATATTTGTGTCTGAACCCCAGTAAGGACACTCTTTGGGGGTGCCACTGATCTTCCTCAGCTGTGGAAACCTCATCTGTCTCTGCAGGAATGGAAGAGATGGCACCTGTGGCCTCAGAAGAGACCCAACAAAGGCTCTCCTCCCTTCTAGTTCAGGATATATCAACTTCCTCCCACCAAGCCCTACACCTCTCTGAAGTGACTTGGGCTAGGACCAAGCCTTTAGCACACTGCTGGCCGTCACTGAGTCACACTAAAGATATTGTATAAAACTGCCTGCAGGCTGTGTGCAAGGCACTTGTGAAATATATATGAATTTCATGTTTAGACCCTGTACTTGCACAAGGCTGGAGAGAAAACAAACAGTGAAATCCAGGCCATTCCTGATAGCAAGCACCTGAACACAGCCTGCACTTGGGATGCCTATGACTCATTGTATTGTAAAGAAATGCGGACAAAGGGCTTGTGGCCTTTGGAATTAAGGCAACAGTCAGCACACAAACACACACATACACACACACACAGGAACAAAAGAATTACTAACACAAGAGAAAGAAAAGTTCAGGAAAAGAAGAGTGGACCACAGCTTCATTTCTGCTGCTTTATAGTCACGGCAGTATTTCCAGCACTCTAAGAGCAGGAAGCTTGGTAAGCAGTAGGATGAAAAGTCTCCCAACAATACGCTGAAAACCCATAACTGCTCTCATTCAGGGGACGCTCTAGGCTGGGCGCTGGCTTCCCACAGTTTATTCAGCATGCATCCAGTGTACGCAGAGTACATGCACACCTGGAATGATTGAAGAATAAAAGTCAAGCTATACATGCACATACACATATAATTATTATCAGTCTATAGAGGAACTATATTATTAGTCAATGATGCTGGTTACCTCCAGAGAGGCAGACTCGGGAACTTGTCCTTGGCATGGCACATCTCCTTGCCAGCTTTGCTTTTTGCAGTGAGCTGTCCTGCTACTATGAATACACACATTTTCCTTATTTTTTTTAAATTTACTTTAGAGGCCCTGCGATTGAACCTGGGGCTCTATGCATGCAAGGCAGGTGCTCAGCTATTGAGTATGCTCCCAGCATAATTCATATGCTTTTAATCTTACTGATACTCATGAAGAATGTGTGTATAGTCAGTATCTGCCGTGGTTATCCAAAACAGTGAAAAGCGGTGCTTGTGTGACAAGGTTAGGTTGAAAGTGCAAGAGTGTACCCAGAAAATGAACCCAATCATATAAATATTCATAGAAAATGGCTGGAAGGAAATCTACTAAAATGTTAGCAGTGGGTGTTCTCGGCAGTGAAGTCATGGATAATTATTTCTTCCTTTTTAGTTTTCAATATTCCTAATTTTCTATTATAAGTGCGCATTATTTTTATAATTGAAAAAATAAGTACTATTTTTGAAGACCCTCCGCGTAATTGCCAAGGACACTGCTGCATTCGTGCAGACGGGTTGCCAGATTTTCCCCTCAGCAGGGGAGCCTGCTTGGGAAGCAGTAAAAAGCAATGATTTCTTGCAGGGTGGGGAACTCTAGAGAAACTGAAGCTGCACAGCTGAGCCTAAGAGATGGTATCATTTCACAGTGGAGGGGAGACTGGCAGAGTCATGCACAGCCGCCCCGAGGAGACAGCCAGGCCAGTGGGCAGTCTCTGGGCAGCCCTGGGGAGGGATTCCTGAGGGGCAGCACAGGGCCAGGATTCCTGGGGTGTACTTGGCACATGCTAATGAGCTGCTGCTTTCCATATAGGCTAGACTTGTGCCTCCAGTGTGTCAAATCACACCTATTCCTTCACACTCCCCACCAAGTGGCATTCCCTGTGGAGGACCTCGCTTGCTCCTGAGGTGCTTTTCTGGAAGGCTAACCATTGCATGTTTCCATATGGAACGTTTTTATCTGACACCCTGACAAGCAACTCTCAGTCGCTATGACTAGACCGGTTCCTCTAACCAGGTGACCCCTGCCTCTATACCCAGCTGGGACGGCTGACATGGAGGAGGCAGAGTGTGTACCTGCCTCACAAGTGCTCACTGTCAGTGAGGGCCAGAAAAGCCAACTAGGGAAGGTGCACCCAGGAGAACCATCAGCATGGCAGAGATGTGTCAGTGGAATAGCAGGTGCCAAGACAGAGCAGGGTGACAAGGCCAGTGCCAGTAGACACAGAGATGGCTAAGCCATAGACGGTGTGCTCGTGGTGAGATGGGGAGAAAAATACCAAAGTATTCCATTCCACTCCAATGGCAAGAACGAGTAAATCCGTAACTCTTTTCTGCTCAGATCCAGAATATCTTGCTGCTGCTTGCCTGCCTGTGAATGGCTCCCACCCCACTGTGAGCTCTGTACTGGCCTGGATCTCTTGCTAATGTAAAGTGCACCATAGAACGTTAGTAAAGAGGACCAGAGGCCCCAGGCCTGCTCATAAATGAGGGGACAGAAATCAGCTACACTGTGAAGACTGTCTCTACTGCCGTGAGACTGGTGGGAGACAGGCTCGGTCACCATGGATGAAATGAATACCATCTGCTGCTGTCCCCACAGAAGGGAACGTGGTAATGCGGATGGAGTCAGAACTCATGACTTATGACCAGCAATGCCAGTTCCAGAGCTCTGTCCAGAAGATGTGCACCAGTCTATCCTATTACTCTCCTTGTAAGCAATCCAAAAGCTCTTGAGGCGGGGCAAGTTGAACCAATGAGAGCAGATCCACAGGAGAACCATGCAGTTGTAAGTGTGAGGAAGAGATGACTCTCTACCGCAGCAACAGAGCATCTTAAGGATACACTTAGGTGAAAAGGAGGACAGAGAACTCTGTATAGCATGTCAGATACTTTTTTCTAGAAAAAGTGTAAAATGAGTGTATGTGTGTGTACACATATATGTGTAACTATACATACACGCACACATACATATATACATTAATGCAGTGAAAATGCAAAGCTCGTAGGGTCAGAATGAGCTGAGGAGAACAGGGACGGAAACTGGACAGGTCCCTGAACACACTTGGCTTTGAGATTTGACTATGAAATTTGCTTATCTCTAGTGACAGACAAGAAATGAAAAAATCCAGCTGTGTTTCTGTAACCTTATATCATGACTTTTGAACCCTCAGCCTCTGCATGCAGACTTGGCCAACCACAGAAGAGTCTTCCCTTATTTTTAGTCCCTAAATGAGATGGCATAACACTATTTATATAGCATTTTGTTATACAGCCATTTCCTCTAAAACGAAACCTCCCATCTTAGTGGGAAGTTCCTTAAGATTCAAGATATTAGAAAGTGAGGTGAAAAATTCCATCCTGTGGGGGATGCTCACAAAAATACAACTTTCCCTGAGTCATTTCAGAAGTTACCCTACATCCATACTTCTGTAAGTAACCCTAATAAACACATTTTCACCAATTGGACTTTGGTTGTGTCCTTACTTTGGTCTTTTCTCAGTTCCCTCTCTGAGGTGAGTAGGTGTTCACATCTCCCCAGCACAAGTATGGCTTATTAGGTGTTGTGAGCCAGCCAGGTAGAGATGGCCGAAAGTAGATGGTAATTATGTGAAGGTTCTCTCTATCAGAGACTTGAGCTGAGAAGTACCTGTGCAGATCCTGGAACCAGTTCCTGATGGGTGGCAATGAGCAACTGTGTGGTCAGTAATAATACTAGTAGTGATATGTGTAAATCAATTGTAATACTAAATTATAAGCTAAACAAGGAAACATTCAGCAAATATCACTAGGAAACCAGCTTTTCTACTAAAAAAATCATACTACAAAATCTAAGCATTTAAGGAAAAAAAATCCATCATCCTTAATTTTTGTAGAAAATATAATAAATTCAAAGCATGTTTACTCTCAAAGGGGAAAGATGTGTTTCCTAAGAAAGCCCAAGAACAGAGACTGAGCCAGTCACTCTGAATACCTCTAGCTCCCAGGCGGTGGTTTCTGAAGTCAATTCCTGCATGGACCAGTGCTCTCCTGACATCTGCTGACTAAGGTAGGGGACAGGACACAGAGAAGGTGGACCTGTGGCACTGCGGTATATCATCACAGAAGGAGCAGGTGGCAGAGTGCAGCCTTTTACTCCAAAGTCAGGACGTGGAAGAGAGAAAGGGACATGCCCCAGTGTCCTACCTTCCTCCACTAAGCACCACCTTCTACACAGGGTCTACCACCTTCCCAGATGGCCAAGGTCAGGGCCAAGCCTTTAACAAATTAGCCTTGGGGAGGAGGGGCATTCTAGATCCAAATTGTGGCAGTGGGTAAACACCTGTTTTGTAAGCCTGCATTAAGAGGGGGTTGAGGGGCTAGTTCAGTCTGTAAAGGGCTTGCTGTGCAGGTCTGAGAACTGGGTTCCATCCCCAGAACCCACATAAAAAGCCATCATGGTGGTGCTTGTAATCCCAATTCTGGGTATGCAGAGGCAGGTGGATCCCTAGGGCTCACTAGTGGGCCAGTTTAGCCCAGTGGGCTAGCCTCAGACCTGCATCTGTGGTGGACAAACAAGGTGGACAGTTATCCTGAGAGCGACACCTGCGACCGAGCTCTGGCCTCCAGCTACACCAACCCCTCACAGAAACATCAGACGTAGATTTAGAACAAAAAAGGAGTTTGGGGTTAAATATGCATGGGATAAGATTGCTAGCTTGGCACTAGGGTAGGGGGATTGCTATGAGTTCCAGGCCACCCTGGGCTACAGAGTGAGGCCTTGTCTTAAAAGCCAAAAAGAGAAGAAAAGGGGTTGAATACAATTGTCTTCATAATCTAAGAGAACGGGGAGGGGGAGGGAAGCAGTTTTAGTTTTAACACAATTTCAATTTAAAAGGATTTCTGGTGCTCACTGCTCTTGCAGTGGTCCCGTATTCTGTAATCAGTTTCCAGTACCCACGGGTGCAGGTCACAGAACTGCACATAACTCCCGCTTCGGGGTTCAAATGTCCTCTTGTGGCCTCCAAGGGCACCTGCACTCATGTGCACATGTGCACACACATACACATAATTGAAAAATAATAAAATAAAATTTGATTTGATATGATTCATTCATATAGTTTTCCATCATGTGACTCTCTTCAGAGAGGGACTTCGTGGGCCTTATTTTTGAAATAATATTTTGAAAATGAGTGAGCTAAGAGCCTGTGCAATCTACATCCATCAAACGAAAAGAGAAAAATTTTAAATGAGATCATATCCCTGAATAGCCTGTGAAATGTCCTGTTTCAGGCATGGTTTCAGGCAGTGACTTAGTTATCCTTAGAACAGCCTTATGAGGTGTACATATATCACTTTTCCATGGGGAAACTGAGGCACTGAAGTTCTAGTACTGCTAATAAGCTGAACCAGGTAGTCTGTCTCCTAAGCTGTTTGGGAACCCACAGAGCCATCACCCCAGAGTAGACCTCATCTATTCCACATAAAACCTGCTGCTTCGAGCAGCAAGTCTTCGTGGTCTCTTTCCTTATCCTTCCTTCCCTGGTCTACAGACCGAGAGTAGATGAAGCAAGAAGCTGCATCTAGAACCCCTGACTGATGATTGAGCTGGACTTTCTGGGTAGGTGACTCTAAAAGCAAGGCAAGGAAGTTCACAGCAGTGAAGGGGGCCTCAGCTGAGGGTCAGAGTTGGCTCATCCAGATACAACCACAAACACCCCAGACTTCCATCTCTACTGTATCATGACAGACATCCACAAGGACCTGGTCTCCAAGTACCAAAAGTGATCCACCCTCCTTTTTTTCCCCCCAGGTTTTCTCTTTGTATCCCTGTCTGTCCTGGAACTCACTCTGTAGACCAGGCTGGCCTCAAACTCACAGAGATCTGCCTGCCTCTGCCTCCTGAGTGCTGAGATTAAAGGTGTGCGCCACCATGGAGCAGCTAAATTATTCCCTTTTATGCATCTCTAGTCCTCATTGAAAGAATTTCCCGTTCAGTATTTCTTGATAGAAACCTAGGTAGAAGGGGAAAGAGAAAGCCAGCCCAGCCCTGGACTGAGATACATCCCTTCTCCCCTGACACCTATAACCTGAGGTCACAGCACCAGCTCTCTGACCCAGACTTCACAGGTGACTCATGCTACTGGTTTACATATAGCACACATCAGAGTATCCACAACAGGGAGGACTCCATCCAGAAGTGGCTGTAACAGCCACCCACATTATCAGGACAAGTTTCCTTAGTCATTTTAAAAATGACTATCTTGCAAGATGCTTGCCAAAGCCATTACCAAGTAAAAGGCCAGGAAGCACAGGGGAGCAGCTCACCAAAGTGTGTCAGGTGATTTAGGGCTTCAAATTAAAATCACAGGCTGAACCTCACGGTTTAAGTTTCACATTTGAACACAGTGGTGTTTGCATGATTCAGAAATCAAAGAAAAGTAAAAGGATGATTCTCAGCCTCACCTATTCTCACCCCATATAGCGTTACATTTATTTGTCTGTACAAATATTGGCTGAGGCTGCCAAAGTGAAACCGCACAGACCAAGAGGCTGAGCAACAGAAATCCATAGTCTTGGTCAGTTCTGGATGCTGGAAGTCCAAGAGCAGGCATGGCGGAGGGGTGCCTACCAGCTCCTAAAGGTTGGAGAACCAGATTTCGGCCTCCACCTTCATCCATTACATGAATGTACTAATCCATGGACACACTGTCGGAAAAGGCGAAATGGTGATTTTTACATTCTTTCATCCTATGAGTGTCTTTCTCCAAACTTCCTTGTATTTAAAATAACAGACACATAGGTTCAGTAAATGGCCTCATTTTAACATGGTTACCTTGGAAGAGACCTACCTCAAATAAGGACCCTGAGGTACTGAGAGTCAAGACTTCTGACATGGTTTTTCAGGGACTACAGTTCAATGGCTAATACCATACGAGTTTGTGCTTTGTCTGGGAATGTGGCCCCTGAGGGCTCGCCCCATAGTGTTTACTCACTTCCTACTGTGGCACCTGCTCCCTTAGAGGGTGAGCTGCAGTGTCTGACTCCCCCTCTGTAAATGAGACTTCTCATTCACACCAGTATGCATGGGTGTTTAGTCAATGGGAAAGTGTGTTTATGAACACTGATAGACATGGCCAGCCTTTGTCCTCAAGGCTGTACTGTCACCTTGTGTGCGCATAGCAAGTTCCTAATATTTCATTGTTTTCCCGATCTGGTGAGTGGGAAAAGCTGTCTTCGTGTCGTTTCGATTCCACTTCTCTCGGTAGCAAAGTCAAGCATCATTTCATACACTCCAGTTCTGGTTGTGCTTTGTTCTGAGAACTGGCAAGGTTTTATTGATCACCACCCTATTTTGTTCTAGATGTCCAAGCATGCCTTCCATTAATCAAATTAGCTGTGATGTGGGATGCAAGCATGTTCCTGAATTTATCATCTGTCTTCCAACTTTGCATTATGGAAAGTTCCAAGCAAGTACAGAAGAGGAGAAATGATTCATAAATGGTGTCCTCACTATTCAACCTCAGTGGCTCCCCATACATGGAGAATTGCCACCTGCCACCCCTCAGCATCTGTTTGTATCCCCTTTTAAAAAAAGGATACAAGGCAACATTGTTATTATATATATATATATATACACAAAATAATGATGATATCTTAATATTAGGAAATAGTGTTCAAATTTCAGTGAATATACAATGTGTTGCGAAATCGAATACTTATTTAACTACGTAAAAAAGTGTTGTACTTGTTTGTGTTGCAGAACAATTGTTTATGTAAAGATGTGTTACATTTATTTATGTTGCATTTGTTTGACTATGTAAAGATTGTGTTACATTTGTTTTACCTTGCCTGCCTAAAGCACCTGATTGGTCAATAAAAAAACTGAACAGACAATGACTAGGCATTAGAGGGCTAGGTGGGACTGGCAGGCAGAAAGAATAAGTAGGAGGAGGAATCTAGGCTGGAGGGAAAAAGAGAGGGAGACACCCAGGGCCAGCTAGCCAGGCAGCCATAAGACAGCCAGACACAGAGGAAGCAGGAAAGTAGGACATACAGAATGAAAGGTTAAAAAAAAAATTTCAAAATGTATATGAAGAGAAACAGGTTAATTTAAGCTGTAAGAGCTAGTGGGACAAGCATAAGATAAGCCTAAGAATTGATAACTAATAATAAGTCTCCATATCTTGGCAGCTGGTTGGTGGTCAAAAGAGAAAATCTATTACATTTGGGATTCCATTGTGGAGTCTGAATTTCCACATAGGGCCTGAGATAGCTGAAAAAAAATGTATGGCTCCTTTAAGAGGTGCTGCTGTGCAGCAAAGCACTTGAACAGCCTGCATACTAAGTAGAAACAGCAAGCTAAGTAAAAAACCCAGCCACAGTGCAGGCTAGAGCTAGGACGGTTAAATGCAGCTCCCAGTTGATCTTAGCTCTCAGCCAGGTCA